CGTGCTGTAACTACATCATATCATAGACGTGCACATCTTTAGAGGGCCTGCAAGCTGGCTCGGCACGCAGAGGCACTTGCTGGCAAGCCTCATCACCTGAGTTCAATCCCTGTGGCTGACATGGTAGAAAGAGGGGCTGGCTCCTATGGGATGTTCTCTGATCTCCACTTACGTGTCATGGCAGAAGCATGCATGTGCTTGTATAACTCAGCACCAGGCACAGTGAAACATAAGTAGAGTGTAGTACTAATAATTATACTTTAAACAAGTGAATTACATATTTACATGGAGGAACAGTCAATTGAGAAGTCTGCTAACATGGATTTGTAAAAAACCAATTTATCTTTATTTTTATGATTTTAACTTTGAAGACTTGTATTATTATCCAGATTGAATGCTTTGGTGTTACTGTATGAGGAATTACAGAGAAATGATATGAAGAAAGAGGGAAAGAATGAAAGCTCACAACAAGCTTTCTGGTGGGTTGAGGATTCACCAATTCCTGGCTGCCACAGTAGCTAAAAAAATGATCTATGGCAAAAGGGAATGGAAACCACCTTTTACCCAAGCCAGGGAATTCTAGTCTAATTTTCAAAGGTGTCACCTGATATTAATAGCCACTTTCCAATGTGTAAGTTTAATAAACCTTAATGAAAATGACAATAATTATAGGTGGGTTCTGCCATCAATGTAGCTGTATTTCAAATATTCATATGGTGCCTGCGGCAATGCCAGCAATAAGCTCAATGAGGGACAGCCTGCTTCACTGACTCACCTATAAAAACCAGAATTCCATCTCTCAGTAAATATTTGTCCAAGGAATGAATTCTTCAGCTGCTAATGGGGCTGTATTGTCACTTAATAACCATATACTCAGTCAGGTCCCTTCACCTTTAAAAAAGCCAGGGGGAGTAGCTGGCAGCTGCTCTCCATGGATCTTCTCTATTACGTAACGATTTTTAAAATAATTATTCATGTGTATGAGTGTGAATGTACATGTGTGTGTTGGCGCCCACAGAGGTCACAAGAAGGGGTCAGAGTCTCTCAAACTGGAGTTGTAGACTGTTGTGGGGCATTTGATGTGGGGGTGGAGCCTGCCTTCCGGGCCTTCACAAGACCAGCAAACGCTCTTAACCACTGAGCCACCTCTCAGTCCAACAGTCTCCACTGTTCATAATTAACAGGCCAACTCAAAGTCTTTCATCTTAGGTTCTTTTACCTACGATGGGATGTTTCTGACAACTGTTGGGTCTCTAGGCCACATGTAACCTAACCATAACTGAAGGGACTCTGGTTGGCTTGAGCATGGTGAGCATGGCTCTGGCAGGCCTTACCTCCTGACCCCCATTCCCTCTGCCTTGCTAAAAACTGTTAGACTTCACTCCTAAAGCGAACCCCCAAGGGCTCATCCCCTATTTGGCTACTTCCTCTTTCTGAGTCTGACCACCAAAGTCCAGTTATCAAACTACTGAAGTCCAGCAATCAAAACCCCTCTTTGGTTCACCTAATTAACACAACCAATTAAAATTAAACAACTCATCTTAATACAGGTATTACCCTTTATAAACCGCCATTTTCCTATGGGCCATATCTGTGTCTTCTCTATCCAGAGGCAGTCCTTTGCCCCACTCAGGGACAAAAACCCCTTAACTCTCCCTTGCCCCTCTTCTCCCCTTTCTTGTTTCCTTCTTTCCCTTCACCCTCTCTCTCTATCTCCTGTCTTTGTCCCTTATCCCTACCCCTTGTCCCTCTGGGGCAAATAAATCTTCTTTGTGCTGAGAATTTGGTCTGAGAACTTGGTCTTTGGGTCCCTTTTCCTTTCAATAACAGCTGTTATGTAGCTGTCAAGATGGAACATCTATTACATACTCCACAAAATAGACTGAACACGCACAACACATTCCAACACTGTGTTACCACACAGAATGAACATCTGTGCAATTTTCCTACAAGTGCCCTACACATACAGCCAAATACACACATAACAGTACTTCAAATCCAGGGCCGCAAGGCCAAGCCCATGCATAATACACCACAAGGAACGGACCTTCACCTCCCCTGTCTAGTTTCTACTGTGGTCTATATCCTTGAAGGTAGTTCACAGAGGTCACCTAAGACCACTGGAAAACATGGATATTTACATTACACTTCCTAACAGTAGCAAAATTATGAAGTAGCAAGAAAAATCATTTCATGGGTGGGGATCACCACAACACGAGGAACTGTATTAAGGGGACACAGCATTAGGAAAGTTGAGAACCACTGACTGACAGGGCTTATAGTACTGTGACATTGACTTCTCTTTAGACATTTCCATTAACAGAAAGATGGCCTGTTTAATCTGTGGGATCTTAAAATTAAAAAAAAAAAAAGATTTTTTTCTTAGTATTCACTAATTGTCTGAAATAATGTCTTTCATTGTGCCCTTTTCATATACGCATGTAAAGTACGTTGAGCACATAATGATCTTCTTAATGAGCTGGTTTCTATTCTAGAGTTGGGCCTTGATAGCACTGACTTCTGTGGAAGCTTACCCTGGTTCCCTCCCCCTTCAAAACTCCAAAGCCCAATTATTCCCTGTACTGACTTGGTCTTTAAAGAACATGCGTCTACTCACTGGAAGCTATGCTGCATTTTAAAACCAGCCACCCCTAAATCACACAACAAGAGAGAGCACTGCAGAAAACTGCTGATACTTTCACTGACACCTTCTTTTGTTTTTCCTTTGAGACAGGAGGGGTCTTGCTCACAGAGCCCTTGCCAGGGTCAATCAAGCTCAAAGAGATGACCTGCCTCTGCCTCCCAAGGGCTGGGATTAAAGACTTTTGCCATTACTGTCAGCAGTTCTTAATTTTTAAGGCTACAAAACAAACAAACAAACAAACAAACAAAAACAAAACTCCACCAAACTTAGTTGTGTGAGCATACTGTCTATATTGTGTGCTATGTGTGAGAGCCCTGCAGAGTCCAGAAGATGTCAAGACCTTCCGAGCTGGGCTCATCAGTGCTGGGTTCTGACCTCCACTTGTCCGGAAGAGCACAGCAAATGCTCCAAACCACTAAGCCATCTCTGCAGCTCCTCACTTATGACTCCTAAAGCCTATTAGTCAATGCTTTCCCTTGACGAACACGTGGTTCTTACTTTAGGGTAAACAGTGACTCAGGAGAGTCACATGAAAAGTAGCCAACTGATCAATACTGTCTCTAAGGATGGCTTACCAGTTTTGACGTGACTGGAAAAAACCCACTGAATCAAGAAGGTCTGAAGCCTTTTGTACTGGCTAGTTTTATGTCAGCTTGACATAGGCTTGAGGTATCAGAGAAAAATGCCCCCAAGAGATCAGGGTATATCCATAATATTTTCATAGCTAGTGATTGATGGGGGAGAGCCCAGCCCATTGTGGGTGGGGCCATCGTTAGGCTGGTGGACGTGGGTGCTAAAAGGAAGTTGGCTGAGCAGGATATAAGGAACAAGTCAGTAAGCAGGACTCTTCCATGGCTCCTGCCCTGCTTGAGTTCCCGTACTGGCTTCTCTTGATGATGTCTACGTGTAAGCTGAATAAACCCTTTCCTCCCCAGGTTGCTTTGGTGACAGCTGTCTCACCACAGAGATAGTACCCCTAGCTAAGACACCTTTCCTGTAGCTTCTGAGACACCCACAGCCTCTCAGTGAGACCTGAAAAGAATCATCAGGTTTGGGGCTGGAGGGACAGCTCAGTGGTTCAGAGTGCTTGCTGTTCTATCAGAGGACTTAAGTTCAAATCTCAGCACCCACATGGGGTGGCTCCCAGAGGCCTGTTGCTCCAGTTCCAAAGTTCCAACACCATGTTGCAGCCTTTGTGGGTACATACTAGTCATGCCCTTTTCCTTTTGTTTTTTTAAAAAAAAAAAAAAAAAAACCCCAGGTTTCAGATATGGTGCTTATAGAAACACTATGCAGCATACCCACAGGGTACCTGGGCTTCAGCTCTGTTCTTAGAAACATGTATCTTAACACACTTCTTGAAGACTCTCTCCCTTAGCTCCCAAGTGAGAGGGTAAATCCACTTGCCACTGTAATCCTTCTCAATACATCTTTATAGCTTCCCTGGTAGGAGTCCTTCCTGGCTTTTACAATCCAGGAACAGGCCTGGTTTCCACACAGCAGGTTTGTACTGGATCCTTCCAGTCACTTTAGTTTATAGACTATTTATGCTACGTGCTTGCACAAGGATTGAAAAACACAATGCCCTTGTAAGGCAGAGGTATTTGCCTCTCCTCTCATAGCTGCTTCTTATGACATTTTTGAGCTGTTTGTGGGAAAGGTGGCCAGGAGGAGGGTAGGACAGTCTGAGGAATGGCAGCTGGTATATGAGATACCATCCTATTGACACTGAATGGAGGTTGCAGGTGACTCCCCACACTTCCGCCATAGTCCACAGCCCACAGCCCGCACTGTTTTCTCACTGAGCAGGGAGGAGGGGAGGCAGAGGGGCAAAGGCTAACCTGGAACATTCTGAGGGTGGCATTTTCAGTGGACAAGCACACTCACAATCAACAGAACCTTCTTTTCTACCTCCAAGCGGACGGAAAGCCATAAACGTAAACCCTGGGAAAAGGCAGCCTGTGCAGAGGCAGTTATTTTAACCAGAGGTAAGTGAACACCAAGCCAGAGCAAAGGCCACATGGAAACAAAAACCAAGCTTGGGACAAAAGGCTGGACAGGAGAAGATACTCAGTAAGAGGTGACAGCTAAAGGCAGAGGAGCTAAGGAGTAAGACAAATGAGCCAGAGATGTTGACAAGAGCACTCATGTGAGTTGGATGTGGGCATTTTTACAGCTAGGTTGACCTCTATCTGACCCCTCCAGAGGGCCACCTTCTAGCAAAGGGCTATGGCCAGAACACACACTCCCCATTTCAGCCCCTCTGTCATGACCATCATACTCTACAGACAACCCAGCTGGAAATCCCCAAAACTCCCACCCGCAGCATACAACATGGAGTCTGGAGTGTCCTTACCGGAAGGTGACTGAGAGGCACGTCCACTTGGCCCAGGAAGTCGTCTCGTGTCTGTGAAGGAGAAAGCAAAGTGTTAATGCTGCTATCTGTACCCTGAGTGCCAGCACTTCGGTAAAACCGCCTCACTACACAAAGAGACAGTAGTCCAGGACCTTGTGTGGGTGCAGCCAAGGGGGAGGGCTATAGGCAGAGGGCCAAGACGAGGCCCCAAGTTCTCACCAGCAGACCGGGAAGCGCAGTTCCAACACCTGGTTTCTAAGTGACTGACAGTCTGTGCCTAGCCTCAAAAGAAGGGCAAGGAATCCTCTCGTAGGGCTGGGAGCATGTGGCCAGCCAGGAAAGAGGAACGGATAAGGACATTTAGGTTTGGGGCCAGAGCTGGACCCAGCTTAAAAAGAAGGCAGGACAGAAATGTTGGGAACATTTCAACACGTACTTATCCTGCTATAAACTCAAGAGCTTCCCAAGAGCTGAGAGTCTGAAGGACCACATGTGGCTTAGTTACTAATACATCTGATAAACTGTAGGTCATAAAAAAGAAAATAAAGTGCCCCCCCCCCCCATTGAGTAGGTATGCTACTAGGGAATCCACATCCGGGAGGAAGCCTGTAATTCAGGAGACACTGTGTTCCTCGGTCTCTTGATCTACCACACAACATGCTTCTTCATGACTTAAATGGGACCAGTGTGTGGCACTGGCTATGGGACTAACTGGGCCCCGCTGAGACTTGGGAAGTCACTCAGGGGAGTCAGAGCTCAGGATCAGGCTACATACCTGTAGCCTGCTCATACACATCCTGCGGTTATAGCACCTGTGGCTTGGCCTCTGGTGTTCAGGGGACCTTGGGCACAAAGCAGATCAAAACAACTGCTTCCCCATAGTGCAGAGTTGTTTCTGCCTCATACAAATTTTCCAGCTTTCATGTTGGAAAATTCTCTGTTACAGTCAAACCCTTCCCACAGCTAGCTGGAAAAAAAAAAAAAAACAACAAAAAAACAAAAAACAAAAAAACACTTATGAGACCTAGAGACCCTTATCTGCACCAGAGTGGTTTACTAAGAAATAGTCTGGTTGACAGACACTGCTTTATCGTCTCACATTTAGTGAAACAGCAGGTAACAATGAACAAGGTATATGAAAATGATTTACTCCAGGTTTGGGCATTTCCTTCCAGGCAGGTCAAAAATGTGATTCACTGGAAAGCCAGTTTGTCTGTTCCAAATGATGTGTGACGGATGACGGAAACTCAGCCCTGGCCAGGAGTGTATGAAGAATGAGAGCAGCCTCGGTGCCTGTATACCCGTGTGTGCATGTGTGCTCCGCATCTGTGTGCATGCCCGTGAGAAACATGGGACTGAGAGGCCAGAGGCTGGCCTTGGTCATTCCTTAGGCAGAGTCCATCCTGTTCTTTGAGATAGGGTCTGTCGTTGCCTTGGAGCTCACCACGTATGCTAGGCAGCCAGAAAGTCCTACCGCTTCACCTATCCCTTCTTACCTAGTGCTGGATTACAAGCACACACCACCATGCTCAAATTTTTACACAAGTTCTGAAGCTTGAACTCGGGTCCTCCTTCGTGCAAGACAGACATTCTATTGATTGAGCATCTCTCCAGCTACAAATGCTTTTGAGGAATTTTTGGTTCTTGCATTTTCTTAGCTATAACCCAATATGGGGATCCTTGTCCAGCAAAAGGCATCTCCCTTCCAGCACTCAGGAGAAGGCCTGGAAAAAAAAAATGGCAGTGACTCTGCCTACCTTCCAAGTCCTATCTCCAGGCACCCTGACACACAGTAATGACTGTCACATAAGGAATTATAGTGTGGGCTCATCTGTCCTCCACTTGCTTGACATCATTCATGTCAGAGCTGTATAAACAACAGCTAACCGTACAATAAAAAACAAACAAACAAAAGAAATAGATTTGTTAAATACCAGCCGTAAACTGTGCATGTGAGAATAACAGTACTGTCATTTGTGGCTTCCTCTCCTCTCCACCCCAAAGACTGATATTCAAAGGACATATTATATGATCATCAAGGGACAGGGTTATCTAAAAGAGAACAATGAATTGTGAACTTGAACGTAGTTTAGCAAAAAAAAAAACCTCAGGATCCGTCTATCTGTGCTTCCGCTGTTTTGCTGGAGAGACATTAGTTTCAAGCTGGTTAAATGAGCTTAGCTCTAGCCAAATGCTAAAAGCCAAGTACTCAGCCCAGACTGATGGCAGCAAACACTGCCAAGATGCATATCCACCACGGGCCGTGTGCCTGGCTACGGTTAGGTAGCAAGCTGTAGAGCTTGCACTTGAACCTGGATCCTGTATGACCAGACAGAGGATGAAGTTCCTGCCTAGGCAGTTGGTTCCTGAGTCCACCCCAACATGCATCTCAGTAAGTGGTGGAGAGCAAGACGGAGGACCCTAACTCGGGGCTTCTCTTTGGATGGTGCAGCTCAGCTGTGGGGACTCTTAAGATAACCCAGTCTGGAGTGACTTTGGGGGTTTCTGTTAAGGTGCTCACATGGTACGTCACCTCGCCTGCTACCTCCTTCCCAACTTGTTTCTTTCTACAAATTCTCTGAGGCATGCCACGCTGGGAAATCTGCTCTCGGTGGTCGGGCTTCCACCTTGCATGGAAACAACAAATTTCCCAACCACCCAAATATAAAGAAGCTTCGTCAGGGAAGGGAGCTGAAGGCTTCCACTGACTTATATTAGGAGAGCCGGAAGTAAACAAAACAGAGCTCAAGTGTGAGAGAGCACATGGTCAGCATCAATGGATTTAAACTGATCTTTCACTGGTCAATGGAAGACGTGTTTGACTGAGAAATTCAGCTTTCAAACCAAGGAAAGCTCAGGCGGCAGAACACTGTGAGGTTTTAGCGCTGAAGACTGAACACAGAGTCTCAGTCTTGCTGGGCGAGCATTCCAAACGCAAGACATCACAGAAGAAGCAGGGAGATGTGAGTCCCCTGGAGGCCTTGTCTTTAGAGGAGGCGTATAGCATACAAAGGAGCCTCTGTCAGAGATCAGGAAGGGTATGCCCTGTGGAGGCTCCCATCTGGACCCTGACAGAGACAATCTGTGGGCAGCACGATATCCTTAGGTTGTCAAGGCTGCAGAATGACACCTTAAATTCATGTTATAAGAGACATTAGTCAAGTCATTTTTAGCAATCTGCAACACAGAAACATTGACATCAAACATGCTGACTACCGAAAGCTACAAAAAACAAAACAAAACAAAACAAAAACAACAAAAACCCAAACTGCAACTCACAACAAATCTGGCATTTCTTGTGATTATCTGTAAGAAGTAATGGTATCCATTTCAACCAACAGTACTCATTTTTTTTTTTTTTTTTTCTCTCCAGGATGGAGGCCTGCAGGTTAGTAACAAAATTACTTATGTTCTCCTCCACAGTGAGAATGCACACTGTAGCCTCTAAAACAGGCAGGTAAGGGAGAGCAGTTTCAGTTACATCATTGGAAAAGTGAATAAGCACACAGACCTTAGTGCTCACTCATGGCTTATTCCCTGCCTCTTTGGCTCTCTGAACCAGGGTCTTATTTATATATCCCAGGCTAGCCTCCAACTTGAGAGCTCCATGCCCAGTCTGCTACGTGCTGGGACCACAGGTGTGCTCCATTTTGGCCATGCTCCTTTAAAACACTGTTTTCATAAAGGTGTGTTATCACGTTGTAACCACAGCTCCAGTGAAACCCAATTGCAGTCCCCTGTGTCCTTACACACACAATCGTTAGAGACAGAAGCACTGAAGTAGATACAAGGCTTATCTGTCTTCAAAATATGTGAGAGTTTCTCAAGGAACACACAGCAGCGCTTGAGGGGTGGAATGCAAACTCACTAAACACCACCCCTTCCCCCCCCCCACAACCTCAGTGAAAAGGGGTTCCTTTTCCAGGCAGAGGCTGTACGAACCTGCCCCACAAAAGCTGAAGGGCAGGGCAGGGGACTGTCGGGGTGTGAACATAATTGGGAGCCAGAAAGGGTGGGTTCCCAGGGGCCACACTGAGTCTCTAAGGCAAGACATATAACAAGGATCAGCAATTACTAGAAATAACCCAATACGCGGTTGTAGCTACGTTTGCAGGTAGTGATCACTAAGATTTTCCCTCCTTCTGGTGCTGGGCATCAAATGTAAGACCTCATACATGTGATGCAAGGCTCTAACTGCGCCACATTGCAGCCTTCACTGGAAATTTGTAATGGAAAACATCAGTGGCTCACAGGAAATACAAGTATGTTTGGGAAACCCCCTTGCCAGTTACATGTATGTGTGAGTGAACACATGTACTGAGATGTGATTAAGATGAGTCTCTTGTAGCTGAAGAGATGGTTCAGGTAAAGCGTGTAAAGGGTTTGCTCTTGCAAGCAAAAAGACCTAAGTTCGGATCTCGGAACCCATGTAAGAAGCTGGTATGGGAGTACGTACCTCTAAGCCTAGTAGAGCGAGACAGAGACAGGGTCAATATTGACCTCTGGTGTCCACAGGCACAGGACACATACACACTACACACACAACAAAATTATCAACAATAAAAAGTTAACTTTCCTTTTATGTGATCCAAAAATAACTTGAATGCCACTCTACTGAAACTGCCCAATGCTATGGCCTGAAGTTTTACCCTGTACATCTCTAAGCAGTAACTTTTAAGATTAGAATTTCTCACAACAAATCCAAACGTATAGAACTTGAGCTAGAGAACGTGAGCTAGAGATTTAGAAGCTTTAAGCATCAAGACAGAATATGGTTGCATTTCTTAATATTACACAGTGAGTCAAACCTTGCATTCTCCTCACAGGAAGTGTGGGTGGCCTCACATGCTACATCCATACGGCAAGGCATCAAAAAGGGTCAGCAGTTCTTGGGGGTAATGATCCCACACAGAAACACAGCTATGTGTTTAGTTACTGTTTTTTAACCCACGAGTTAAGAAATGACCTCTCCTCACACGTTCAATCACCGGCCGGCCTCTAAGCCTGCTGCCATAGCGATGGTGCGGGGAGCTTTTTTATGTTGGAGCCAT